CTTGCGGGATTAAAACCAGTTTCATCTCTCAAGGAGTACAAGGCTTGGGGCAGGGCAGGTGGGTGGGGGCTGGGGGGTCATAGTGGTTAGAAGTGGCCTCCTAAAGGAGACTAACCAGTTATATGGGAAGGAGAGAAGAGAAAAGAAAGTTGTCCTAGTAAAGGAATGCAAAATCATTAAAATGAAAGAGACCGCTTTGGGAAATGCAGGCAGTTTGAGAAATGGAGTACTTCCTGCCATATCAGTAAACAATGAGGTCACAGTCACCAGTGACCCAGCCCTCCAGGGCACCCAGGAAGGAGAGGAACACCAGCAAGATCTGGCGGGCCCCTAGGCTGCAGCCACTCCCTATGGGGAGCTCAGAAGAACTCAGGATGTGAAAAACCACTAGATACTGGCCCCAGATAGCTGAGATACATATGAAAGGAAAGACTTCAGTGAGCTCAGAGGCTTGCATCTTGCCATATACAGAAAAGTGCTAAATTCCTTGAGATAGCTGGTTTTCTTTAATTCACAAAAGTACTTTTAATGTTCTGACCGCCTGTCCTTTGTTGCAAACATCTATATAACCTGACTCCTCCACCCTACCTCCTCAGAGAAGTTCTCTCAAGGTTACTTGAAATGCTGCTTCCCAGGCCTGAAGTCCTAAAAATTCCCACCAAATACAATATAACCCTCAACTTTTAGGCTGTGACTTTTTTTCAGTTGATAAGTTCATTATATTAAAGTTCAGCTTTGGGGAAAGGGCAGTAAGAAAATCAGGCTGGAGAGGCAGGAAAAGCCCTTAAAAGGTGACGTATGCCCTGTAGGGAGCTAAGACTTGACTGTGGAAGCTCCACAGGTCCCCTCAGCCATCTCCTCACTCATTCTACAGATCCCCGTCCTTCCTGCACTGAGGAGATACACAGTAAGGCCAGTGAGGGATCCATGGAGAATTGGTGACTTATAGCTCAGATGGTAAAGACCCGGGTTTGATCCCTGAGTAAGGAAGATCCCCTAGTGAAAGAAACAACAACCCACTGATATTGCCTGGAGAATCCCATGGACAGAGGAGCCTGGTGGGCTACAATACAAGGGGTCACAAAGAGTCGGGCACAACTGAGTGACTAACACACACAACACAGAAGAAAAAGGAACAGATAACTAACAAGAGGGGGAACGTTTTGGTACATATAACATTCCTTCCAACATAACACCAGCTTTACTCACGGTTCAGCCTAATCTCTGTTTTTTGTCATGTTTATTCAAAACGTGTCAATAGTAAACAGTGTTGTAGACAGTCAAACATCCTCCTTAAGCACAGTTTTCGGACTTTGAAGATGCATACAGTCATGCAACCATGAAAAGTAGGACACAGACCATTTCTATCACCCCAAAGAAATTCCCTCTCCCACCCCAGTCCATGACAACCATAGGTCTGTTTCCTGTCTCTTTTTAATCTTTTTTAAAAAAATTTTTATTATTACTATTTTTTTACTTTTTGGCCACACCCGGAGATATCTGGGTTCTTAGTTCCCTGACCAGGGATTGAACTCACACCCCCTGCATTAGAAGGCAGAGTTTTAATCACTTGACCACCAGGGAAGTCCCTCAATTTAACCCTAACCCTCTCTTTAAATAGATACAACTGTACATAATAGAACTACAACCCACCCTTGAAACCTGGCAGGATCTTGTGTGGCCCTCTTGCATACGAAAGTCTTTCTGTATCCCCTGTTTCTTGTTTATAGGGAAAAAATTTCAGCTTCTCAGACCTTCCCTGAGTTTCAAAGGACAGATTCAAAGGGCTGCTAATTAGAAGAGTGAAGGAATGCAGAAACCAAGGAAGGCAGTCAAGAAACAATAGGACAGCCATGGAGCAGGGTCCTGGTTCCTCCTCAAGGGATATACATTACAATATCTTTTGAGTTTTTCTATAGGAACTAAGGCCCCCACCGGGATGGACAATGGTAACTTCAGGCTCAGCACAAAATTCCTGAAACACCACCATGTTAACTCATCACTAACCAATTACAAGTCACATACCCTGCAGCTCTCACCCCAAATTTTGCCTATAAAAACTTCCCTGAAAACCATCAAGAGTTCATATCTTTTGAGTATAGCCACCCATTCTCCTTCCTTGGTCCTTGCAATAAACCTTTCTCTGTTCCAAACTCCAGTGTTTCAGTTTGGCCTCACTGTGTGTTGAGCATATGAACTTGAGTTTGGCCACACCTTGAACAAACAGATTTGAACTGTGCAGGTCCACTTGTATTGTGGATTTCTTTTCAATAAATATATTGGAAGATTTTTTTTTCAAGATTTGCAACAATTTGAAAAAACTTGAAATATTGAAAAAAATCAAGAAAGATAAGTCATGAATGATAAAATATATGTTGATATGCATATAACATACAAAATATGCGTTAAGTTTTGGAGGAGTCAAAAGTTATAATGGATTTTTAACTGCATCGGGGTGTGTCCCCAACTCCTACTCCTTTTTCCTTTTGATGAAAATGTCAGAGTCAGCAGTGCTAAAGAGAAAAAAATAAAAGTGAAGGAGGAAACGAAGTCAGGGAAGGCCTTCCCAATGAGGCCTTTGAGCAGAAACCTGAGGGTGGCTCTCTGGAGGTGTGATGCCAAGATCAAGTGCTAGCCTAAGGAATAGCACAGCCAGTGGGACTGAAGCAGACGGAGGGAGAGTATAGGATGTGAAGTCAGAGGTTCAGGTCAACTCTGGCAGTGTCCATACCTCAGGCCACTGTAAGAACTTTGCGTTGGCTTCTGGGTGGAGGAATAACATAATCTAATTATGTTTAAAAAGATCACTCTGACTTGGGTGTGGGGCCGGGGGTGCTGGAGAGAGGAGCAGAGCAGGGAGACCACATAGAGGCTACTGTAGTCATTCAAGAGCCAAGAGGGGGACACGGTCCTGCCTATGACAGCTAGGTCCTGCAATGCAGGCACATTCTTTACCATCTGAGCCACCAGGGAAACCTCTTAAATACAATACCAGACACAAAACAAGCACTCTGAAACTGTATGTAAAAACACTATCTGGTTTCTAAGGAAGAGTGTATTCAGATATATATCTTAGGATGCCAGAAGTACCCTTGGTGTGCAGCCCTTATCCTCAAGAGAGTGGGGCTGGGAGAGCAAGGAAGATCCAGCATTCCAACAAGCAAAAGGCACCTATTCCCAAAGCAAGGTCATAGCCAATGGAAGTTTTATAATGACTCTCTACTGTTTGCCCCATTCCAAAGCAACCCCACTCTCTACCTCCCCCAAATCTGCCCAGTTAAGGGAAAGCAAGCACAAGTATAATGGTCCAGCTTTGGGTCCATGCAAACTCATTTACACTTTATATTCATTTTACATTTACATTCACACTCATGTACATTTAAGAGGAAACTGACAGACATGGACAAGGAAGGTTGCCTGCCATTCTAGTAAACAAAAAATGTTGCCTCTTATTCTGGTAAACAAGGATCAAGCCATTAGCCACTGCAGCCACATTTCCCAAACCCCCCTGGTACAGCTGAGGAGAAATTGGGATAGAGAAAAGAGGAAGCATTATGTGTTCTGGGCACTAGCCCTAGATAGTTAAGGTGTATATCTCAGGAAGCATTACAATGAGCCCAGAATCTTTTATCTTCTCATACAGAAAAGCACTAAAATCATTAACTAGTAATGTCTATTTTTTGTGACTATCAGTTATCTTTGATGTTTGACTACATGGTTTGGCTTTTCCTGTTGTTTTTCGTTTCAGCAAAATCTCCTATATATCCTGGCTACTCCCTTATTCTTTCTTTGGTCTTTGGAGCAGTTCCTCAGAGCGATCTGAGAGGCTGTCTCCTGAACCACAGTCCTCAGTAAGGTCCTCAAATAAAACTTAACTTGCAACTTTTCAGTTGTGCGTTTTTCTTCAGTCGACCGCTTTAGTTAGCAACAAAGGGACCCAGAACAGACTTCTCTCCCTCACCCAAACTCTACAAGAATCTGGAGCCTTGGTACCAGCAAAGACCTCCTGTGCCTAGCCACCTCCTCAGAGTCCAGATGAATTTAGGTTAAGTCTCTTCTGGGTCCTGAATCTCCACTATTGGCTGATTATCCTTAGTTTTATTTGGTGGTGAATAAAATCCTCGCTGGAGGAGTAGGTTTTCCTTGAACTTAATTTCAAGAAGAGGTACCTGGGTTATCCCAGATGAACTGACAATGGAAAGATTTTGCTCAGTTGAAAACTGGATTACCACAGTTGAGAGACGCTGGGAAGACTTTATTATGTATGTACAGAATTTATTCCTACAAGTACCTACTTTGTTGGGAATTAAAGGAAATCTCACTTTAAAAAGGACCAAATGTGGGTTCTTTTAACACTCCAAAGTTAATTTTTGTGTGTGCGTGTGCAGCTAGAAAAAGCCAGCTTGGTAAAACATCTTCTCGGAATTCTGACCTTAAAGGAACAAAAAACTTTTCAAAGGAGGAACTAGCATTTCTCCCACTGTGTCTTTGAGATATAAATGTTTTACCTGATCTTCTTAAGACTTTTTTTCCCCTCCCTGTGTTATGAGAGCTCTGACAATGGCCAGACAACGGAGATTAAAAATGAAGAAACTTCTAAACTGGTAAATTTTTAGAGAACTCTCACTATTAACAGCTGGATTATTGGCACCTATGAAAAGACCAAAGTAGAAAGTGGATATAAAAAAATGTAATGGCCAACCTTAATAATTCCCTTAGTTTAAGACAAACCAAGAGCAACAACAAAAAAAGTTTGGGAAGCTGAATCTATGGTCAATTTCCCCTCAATGGGTCTTACAGATGCCAATAAAAGCATTAGATTGTTAATTAGGCTGATTAAGAGGAATAGAAAAAAACTGCAGAGAAAGTCTAGAGACATCTTCCCAACAAGGTAGAAATTTTAAAGGGACTTGTTCCAAAACAATGAAAGTCTTTAGGTGGTTAAGTAATGGGATAAATAAAACAATAAATAAATGTATCAAAACAAACATTTTGATGCAATGCTAAGGTTGGATGGCCAAAGGGACTCCCTACTGGTCCCCATCATTAAAGAACCCCAAATAAGTCCACTCTGTTTACCCCAGTTTGGGCTCCCCTGGTGGCTCAGACAGTAAAGAATCTGCCTACAATGCAGGAGACCTGGGTTCGATCCCTGGGTTAGGAAGATCCCCTGGAGGAGGGCCTGGCAACCCACTCCAGTATTCTGGCCTGGAGAACACCCCACGGCCAGAGGAGCCTGGTGGGCTACACTCCATGGGGTTGCAAAAAGTCAGACACACTGCTCAATTAAGCACAGCAAAACATATACATGTTTTAAAGGCTGCTAGAAAATTCAACTGCTTGGAGCAACAGTTAGGCCAATTAATCAAGTTAAAATATCATCGAAAGGTCCTGAGTCCCTTGGCTCAACCCCTCATCTGGGAAACCCAAAGCCTTTTACATAAAAAGGTCAGGAAGATAAAAAGAAACGTTTCTGAGATTCTGTGTAAGACCAAGACAGGTTGATGGGGACTTAATGGAGGTTAAAATTACAGATATAAGAGCGGAGAGAATTGGGATGAATGTGTATAAAAGTTGGTATGTTTAAATGGGCTTTATATAAGATGATTAAATCTCTTCTGCCAATTATATTATGGGATAAACTTAGGTCTCCCTTGCCTGGTGTAAGATAGGGCTTGTAAATCTGCCCCTCAGGCAACATTGATTAAACACACTAAGGAAAATCAATAGGGTTACCTGAGCCCACACAATATGAAATAAAACTGGGGGTTAATATTCAGGAGTTAATAAAAAGAATGAAGACTTTTAGCCCCTAGGGTAAACTGCTCTGGGTTTAATTTGTATACTCAAAAAGAGGGCCTTTATTGAATGGCTTGTGCAAAGTTTGGAAAGCAGGATAAACTGAACCCTAAAGTTCTAGAACATATAACTCTTGATTTTCACAGTAGTTGGAAATCTTTTTACTGATATAAAGAAGCAAATAAAGAAAATGTAGTTGGGCAAATCAATCTTTCAGTACCGTATAGGTGGCAGACCAGTTCTCTGAGGAATTAAAAGCAACTGTCTTGTCTTACAAATCTCTACATATCAGAAACATAAGTACATCCCACAAGGACCTGGGACTGAACTGAATTAACTCAATCAGGTAGAACCTGCACCAAAAAAAAAAAAAGAGAGAGAGAGAGAAAAAAAGGCTTTGCTGAACTCAAACTGCTGGAAAGCATCCCTCACCAAATCTAATTCACAGCCTCCTTCAGGATTTTTCAAGGACAAATACAAACCTTAAAATATTCTCCACAAACAGTGAAAAGCTTTAGTCATCTGAGCAAATATATTTAACTTATTCAAATTGTTATTTATAAACTAGTAAATTTATAATGCAATAACTTTCAAATGAAGCTATGAGGTCTCTAGTTATGCCTTTTTATATTTCTGTGTGTACATTATACATATGATATGTTCCTAACTCCAGTTATCTATATTATATATTATATATGGAGTTATAATATTATTATTATAAAAATTAAACATATAAAAAAGCTGTATTTAACTGATGTAAAAGTTCAGTTCATTTGCTCAGTCATTTCCGACTCTTTGCCACCCCGTGGAACGCAGCACACCAGGCCTCCCTGTCAATCACCAACTCCCAGAGTTTACCCAAACTCAAATCCATTGAGTCGGTGATGCCATCCAACCATCTCATCCTCTGTGGTCCCCTTCTCCTCCCACCTTCAATCTTTCCCAGCATCAGGGTCTTTTCAAATGAGTCAACTCTTTGCATCAGGTGGCCAAAGTACTGGAGTTTCAGCTTCAGCATCAGTCCTTCCAATGAACACCCAGGACCGATCTCCTTTAGGATGGACTGGTTGGATCTCCTTGCAGTCCAAGGGACTCTCAAGAGTCTTTTCCAACACCACAGTTCAAAAGCATCAATTCTTCTGTGATCAGCTTTCTTTATAGTCCAACTCTCACATCCATGTATGACTAGTGGAAAAACCATAGCCTTGACTAGACGGACCTTTGTTGACAAAGTAATCACTTACAAATTGGTATTTTTAAAATATAATAAAAAACCATCCTGCACGTTCCCTGGCAGTCCTGTGGTTAGGACTCTGTGTGCTCACTGCCGAGGGGCCTAGGAATGATCCCTGGTCAGCGAACTAAGATCCCACATGCTGCAGGGCTTGGCCAAAAACTTAAAAATAAAAATCTTAAAAATAAAAAAAAATTTTTTATTAAGTTACTTAAAAGAAAGCCAACCCAAATAAATTTCAAGTTCCTGTGATCTGGAAAATAGTCAATATTATACTAATAATCAGTTTTAAAGTTTAAATTTGTTGGTTTAATGAATATAGAACATTCTTACTTTTATTGCACCTAGGTTTACCAAAAGTTAAATAGGTCATACTATCCCTGTTATAAAATTCTCAAGAAAAATATCTTGAAATGATGGCTTATTTTGTGTAATGTCTCATTCGTTTTCATGGGTAATCTAAACATACTATAATTCAACAGATATAAATGGAGTAACAATTTTTAGGTAAATTCTTTAAAAATAATTATGTCTTATGGTTTGTCTACTTAAAAATAGTTTCTCCAGATTTTTGGTGATTTAATATTTATAGGTTTGCTAAATTAAGTAAAATGATGGAAATTATTAAATATCTGCTGCTGCTAAGTCACTTCAGTCGTGTCTGACTCTGTGCGACCCCACAGACAGCAGCCCACCAGGCTCCTCCATACCTGGGATTCTCCAGGCAAGAATACTGGAGTGGGTTGCCATTTCCTTCTCCAGTGCATGCATGCATGCTAAGTTGCTTCAGTCGTGTCCGACTCTGTGCAACCCCATGGACAGCAGCCCACCAGGCTCCTCTGTCCACGGGATTCTCTAGGCAAGAATACTGGAGTGGGTTGCCATGTCCTTCTCTGTTTAAATATCTAGATCATTCCCACATATCTAGATCATTCCCAAATAAAATAAGACACTGAAACATTAATTACTCAACACAGGGTGTCTTTTTACAGAGAAAATATTTAGGTCTATTAATAAAAATATCACATTGAAAAATTTTCTATTAAAAAACCACATATTTTTTAGAAATCATAAACAGTATTTGTGATTTTGCCAATCTACAGAATAATAATATGAAAAACAGGTTATAACTGCATACTTCTTAGTTTTCACTAGAACTTAAGGATTTTAAAAATTTAGAATTCTGGTTAATGCATGTAATTGAGATAACTAAAATTGGTAAGGAAAACATCTTTGCATGAAAGGAAAAAAGGTATAAGAAATGAAAATACAATTTGTTGAGGGAAAAGAAAGTAATTTTATCCTAAAGAGAGAGAAAGGAAAAGCATAGGAGAAAAACCTAACAGTAAAAAGAAAGTTAAAGAAAGTTTGTGGAAATAGAACCCTTAGAAAAGACTTCTATACATGGTCTGGATTGGCTGAGATTAAAATAAAGTTTAACTGAGTAAATTTCAATATTAAAAGTAAGCTAGCATGATGAACATAAATCAGATCTGAAATTAAACTGAATCTTTTTAACCAGTGAACCAATAAACACACACTAAAATTATAACTAAAATATAGAGAAAGGGTCCATAATTTCTGGATATTAAGGGGTCCTCTGAGCCCACTAAGAGACAAGAGAAATGAAAATCTTGCCTAAAACCTTTCTTTTCAGAATGAGATAGTAGGCTCAAAGACTTACCCAGAAATCTTTGTCGTGTGGGGAAGTAGGGGCCAGGATCTCACAATTCATTTAAAGACATTTTGCATTTCTGAAAGATATAATCTATGCATATCTCCCCTTCACATACAGTCAGTAAATAACAAGCTACTTTCTTACCAGAGCCTGAGTAAATAAAAATTAATGTGTTTATTCTATTTGATTTATAAACACTTACAGGTCTTCATTTGAGAAAAACTGGGAACTTCTAAAATTCTAGCCCTTCCAATTTTATTTATTTCTCATAAAAGACTGAATGCAAATTGGCACTATGGTCTCTAGAGTCTTTGAAATTTAAAGCATTACTCTTCCTGTAGATATGCATTTGCTAAGTCACATATCTATGAAACTTAAAAAGTTCAAAGCAACTTCAGTAACACACCTAGTACCCAGATCTTAGTTTCTTATAATAACAGCCTCCAAAACAAGGAAACAGAGTGCCTTGGAAATACGGTTGATGCCAGGGTCGGGACATGGAAAATAGAAAAATGAGCCTGGAGCATTTCATGATACCAGAAAGCAAAGAAATGATTTTTTAAAAGGGAGGATGGGGAGGTGAGGTGGTATGTCATAAGGGCACAGGGGCCAACCTGAAAGAAGAGCTCCCAGTGGCCAATGGTAGAACCATTTGATCAGCAATTAAATAATGACCGTCTTGAATTATAACTTATACAATAAAATAAATATCCATGAGTCTATATTTATACAGTTGAATAAATAAATGAAGGAGCAGCTCTTCCTTATAAAATTCTCATTACTAAAGAGAAGTAATGAGAAAAACAATCTTTAAATCACTGTTAGAACAACATAGTACCATGTACATCCAGTTATACCAATGGCCTAAAACTAGTGAATAAAGACTTAAGGAGAAACAGGATATTTGCAAGGTCCAAGTTTCTCTCCCATGATATATATTAAATACAAAAGGAAAAATGTTAACCATCAGGGACCTGACAAACAGCACTTAACCAGAGTTTACATCAGTTTACATCAGTAATAAGACATCATGTACCCCTGATATGATGCACTGGGATTACTTCTAGTGAAAGTGAAGTTGCTCAGTCATGTCTGACTCTTTGTGACCCCATGGACAGTAGCCTGCCAGGCTTCTCCATCCATGGGATTTTCCAGGCAAGAATACTAGAGTGGGTTGCCATTTCCTTCTCCAATTTCTTCCTAAAATGCATAACTTCAATCTAATCCTGAGAAAATATCCAGTATTAATTGCAAGACATTCTACAAAATAACTGAACAGTATTCATTATAAGTGTCA